AGAGAGCTCTGAAAGAACTGTAACCGGCCTGATGGGTGTGTGGGATAATTGCTGCAGCTAAAGGTTAGTCAGGCTGGCACAATTAGGCGAGGGTATATTATTTGGGAAGATCCTAAAGCTACTTCTGCCTATCTCGTATGAGTCCAATGTAACAGGGTTTAAATTCATTGAAGAGTGGTTTTAGAAACCGGGCTAGCATCTAGTCTGTAAGACCCTTTTCAACTCTGACTCTTTACAGAAGTTTAGTCAAATCTCCTGACAAACTTCCCTCCTAAATCCTCTTCCTTTCTCTCCTCCACTTACCGCTGCTCTTTAACAACATTGTTGTTTTCCTTCCTTCCAGTTCTTGGAGCAATGGAATATCTTCTGCTCGAACAGCCAACTCATGTAGCCTTAAGCAACAGTACCATCTCACTTGAATTCCACCATTATTATGATGGAAACGTGACGCTGAAAAACGTGTCCATCTTGCTGCTGGAAGCTGGCACCAACCAAACTGTTGCAAAAAAACAGCTCTCACAAAACCAGTACCAAGATATCGTCGTATTTGAGTGTTATCATTTTAAGAGTGTGGGGAGCTACTGGTTCAGAATGGTCTCTGAAATCAGCAACAGCTCCAGTACCTGGTGGAATGAAGAGAGTCTTCCTCTTGTTGTGAAGTGGCCTGAATTTCATATTGATCTAAGGAGGACCCCAGAGAGACTTGGGAATTCCCTTCAGCTCGGGTTGTTTACCAGTGAATACTTGTGTCCAATGAATAAGACGGTGATTTCTCTGGATGTAATACTGACTAGCAGCTTGTATGACTTAGGAAAATTGATCTCAGATGAGACTGTAGGCCTGAGAACTTACAAAGAACTGTCTCTTTCTAGGTCTCAGTGGGTGACAGTTGACTGCCATGTCGTTGGCCAGTTACAGTTAGCATATGTTGCGGCCTTACTGAAATCAACGACGAAGCATTCCATCATTGCTTCAACGGGACCTGTTGACCTTATGCACAGGTTTGGATACAAGATCCTTGTAACACAGGAAACAATGTGTGAGTCTTCTGTTGTGGTTTCAGTCATTCCTCCTCCATGCACTTCTGCTGGGGGGCACATTGTTGTATTCAAAGAGCCTCTTGAACCTCCGAGTCAAAAGGCACCGAGGATACAAGAACGCATCCTGAATCCAGAGGACAACCAGATAGAATTCAACTGCACTCTGTTTGACGAGGGAACAAATAAATACTGTTTTGAGTTTAGACGGTCGAGCCGAACTGATTCTCTGCCACAAGCAAAAGAATGTGTGCTAATTCTAAGGAATATCGGTTTGTATTGCCTTTCAAAAATGCTTCATTAGAAAAGCTGGTGGATTATGATGGCCATATGCCATTAATCTGTGCATTGCCAAACCTGGAATATAATTATAACGTCGCAGCGTAATCTGTTACCTTCTGTGGTCACCACTGTCCACCAATGCAGAACTGCACACACAAGATGGAATTCCATAAGTCATTATAGAATCCTTTTCCCCATTTTCTGCTGGTCCTTAGCGGGATGAGTAGTGGTGTGCATGGCTGGCTGCTGATGAGGGAAGAGAGAAATTCTGTAACGTCTTATGGGGATCCCCTCCTTATGGATGCAGCTTTATTTTGTGGGTCAAGATGGAATGGAAGCCTTAGAAGGCTCTGTCCTGTCTTCCTTCCTGTTGATTCTGTGCTGTCGCTCTACACACTGAAGACACACAGCTTTGTCTCTCCGATTCTGAGTTTCTTATACAGCAATTAACAAGCAAGCCATTATTATTTATTATTAAAGTAATAATGGTCTGCAAGCTTGCACTTTGTTCTAATTTATTAGC